ACAGGCCAGCCAGATGAGAAAAGTGTGCTGAATACGTTCGAGTCTTTTGAGGTGAGTCACAGCTGCACCAGACCAGACCACACTGCCGTATTCGATGATGGAGCGAACATGAGCGTAAAACACAGACAGTAAAGGTTTAAAACTGACCCTGGCGCGGCGCGGAACGGCCGATCGCTGCATGCTTCTGATCAGCAGACCGACCATGCGTTTCGCTTTGGCGACCGTGGCATCTACGTGACCAGCAAAGGTCAGTTTGCTGTCAAGCACAACTCCTAAATCGCGCACCTGTGTACATCGTTCCAGCGCGGCGTCACCTATCTTGTATGATGCTAATACAGGTGAGGTGCGCAAAGTAAAAGTTATCACATGACATTTCACAGGGTTCAGGTGCAAGTTTCAAGCGCGAGACCAGTCTACCAATGCATTGATGTCAGCTTGCAATGTATGAACATCATCTTCACAGCGAACCATTTTGCGCAGTTTGATATCATCCGCATACATCGTGCACCCGTGCTTGACATGAAGCGGGATGTCGGCTGTGTAGCACGCGAACAACAAACTACTGCACACACTTCCCTCCGGCACGCCCGACAGCACAGGTGTCCATGTTGACTGCTTCCCGTTGACAACAACACGCTGTTTACGGTCACTAAGGTATGAATGAAGCCAGTTGTATGCAAGACCCGTTACGTTGAAAGACTTGTTTAGCTTATAGAGGTTAAGTTCGTGATTAAAGGGACTATCCCACCTTCTAAAATGTTGTTAAAACCAGTTAAATTGTGCCCGACTTTATAGATTGGATGACCAGGAACACGGTTCTGGCATTTATTTTTCATTAAACATCTTAGGCTTCCCATATTCCAAACACAAACTTTCAAATATGTGACGTCACAGCCCAAAATTACATCCTTCCCCAGGCCACATTACTGTCATAAAGCTGATTCTTTTTACTCTGTAGGCACCACAACAAAGTTCAGACCAAGTTTTAAGCGATTTTTCAACGGACAAACCCATTTAAATCAGAATGACTAAACGAGGTGACGTCACACTAACGGTCGCTCCATGTTAAAGATAGGGCCTTGTACAAGGCCCATTTTCAAATGAAGGGAACGAATTTCTTCAACACCAAGAGGCCGCGGGGGTTGCAACCTAGATAGATAGTGGTTTCTGAACCTCGCCGCAAACTTGGCTATCTCAACTCAAACCCCATGTTAAAGGTGGGATAGTCCCTTTAACACTAGTGAAAGCGGAAGAGAAGTCGGTATAAATAACATCAGTTTGTTTGCCTTCGGCAATGGCACCCCATACATCGCTCATGAAACATGTAAGATTGGTCACACAAGATCGGTTTGATAAAAAACCGTGTTGGCTCAGCGGCAGCACAGGACGGCAGTGAGACATCAGACAGTCGTAAACAACCTTTTCTAAAACTTAAGAACAGAGCGGTAGCAGTGAGACCGGACGATAGTTTTCCGGGCGACGTTTATCTCCTTTCTTGTGCACTGGCACCACGTTGGCTTGTTTCCACCGAGATGGAAACATCAACAATATTCATCGTTCGAGGGCGGATACAGTTGTAACAATACAACCAATATTTTTGCACAGCTCTGTTCCTTGAAAAATTCTCTTCAACGCCTTATTCCTAGTTAAGCGAATTAGTCTACCCTGGTTGAATAAATAAGGCGACTTCGCCAAAAGGTCGCGGATACCCGACCGAAAACGGCCGCGCTCAACGTTAATTTGGGCATGTAGACTCTAAAAAACTCGCATCGGGCGGATAGGGTTTCCGAGGTATTGGCTCCAAAACAACGTATTTGGCTCCCAAATACGTGTACGTCCAAGTGATCCACCTCGTTCCTAGCTAAGCTCTTATTAGATCAAGTGACTCATAAGGAGCGAAAAAGCGACAAAAAACATGAATTTCCCTATAGCGGCGGGCTGCCGGGTTGCCAGACGGCGCACCGGCTATTTCCACTTTTGACACACCATGTTATCTGAGATTTGACCTAAGGTAAACGTTTTAGCCTCAAAATATACGTTTACGCGGGGGACTTTTGCCTGTAATACCTTTTGGCTCAGACCTGCACGAGATTAGTTTAACCGGCATCGTGTTCCATTTTTCGAGACTAGTCAAATGAACTAGAATTTGACATTAATAGGCTATTTTGAGAACTTGACCTAAGGTGAAGGTCATCACCAACCGAGAAAGGTCATATTACATATTAGTCGATCCGTATTGTCGAGAAGGAAAATAAAAAAGGTGTTTCATTGCCATGGTGTGTCAAAAGTGGAAATAGCCGGTGCGCCGTCTGGCAACCCGGCAGCCCGCCGCCATAGGGAAATTCATGCTTTTTGTCGCTTTTTCGCTCCTTATGAGTCACTTGATCTAATTAGAGCTTAACTAGGAACGAGGCGGGTCACTTGGACGTATTCGGGAGCCGAATACGGTGTTTTGGAGCCAATACCTGGGAAACCCTACCCGCCCAATGCGAGTTTTTAAGAGTCTGCATGCCCAAATTAACGTTGAGCGCGACCGTTTTCGGTCGGTTTTCCGCGACCTTGTGGCGAAATCGCCTTATTTATTCAACCAGGGTGGGCTAATTCGCTTAACTAGGAATGAGGCGTTGAAGAGAATTATTCAAGGAATAGAGCTGTGCAAAAATATATTTTGTATTGTTAAAACTGTATCCGCCCTCGAACGATAAATATTGTTGACCCATCAGAAACATATCCCCTGGAATGCGTTTGGACTTGGCTGGATCTAATATTAGCGAGTATCTGCTAATGCAGTTTCTTGGCTTACACAGTACGCACACAAGCATACATACTTCCTGCCCTTGGTTATTCCTCACTTGAATGAAAATTTTGCTATAATAACTATTCCAAGCAGTTAACAGGTTTTAGTGCAGTGCCAAGTCAGAACCGTTCAGCGCCGCCAGTCTCCCAGGCGGCGCGTAACGGGCGCCGCCGGCCGCCGCGCCGCCGCTCTGGCAGGGTGTTTGACTTCATATCTCTGTTGCTAGAAAAGTTGTGGACCGATTTACTTGATTTTTGCATGAAAAGATCCGCCATTCAATTCTTAGCAGATAACGAAAATTTGACGTCAATTGCACGATCCGCTGCCCACATTGTGGTACTGCCATCTATTGACAAGGCTGGCGAACTAAAGCCGGGCGGCTATTTCCACTTTTGACACACCATGGCTCTGCCATATCTCTATCAGAAGTTATTGTCCAAAATCTACTGTAGACCTTTCATGACCTGTGATGACCTCAGTAACATAATAATGGTCACATCACGAGTGAAATTTTCCAATGAAATGTGTCATATTTACCTGTATCTCGATGTTTGAGGGTGTTTTCGTTCAGAAGAAGAGCATTTCAATTTTTCCCATAAAACCGCGCCGTGCTGGGGGACGTTTTTACGCCTTCCCCCTAGGTTTTTCGCGAATATCTCAAAAACGGCGTCGCGCAGCGCCATCGTTTTTTGTACATCTGTTTATACATCTTTTCCACACATCGTGAAAAAAAATTCAGACCCGGGTCGTTCAAGATCAGGTCACTAGGTCACTTGACGTGACATGGTGAAAAAGTCAAAAGACTCAGAAAAAGAAAAAGACTCGCTATAGCTACACCGACTGAACGATCACTTTTGAAACTTTCAGAGATTGAAAAGACTAACAATATGTATAAAATGTTTATCTCGAACTTTTGATACTTGTGTCAAGGTTAGGTCAATTTTGCGACCCCTCCATTACCTATAAGTGATGGGAGAAAATTTAAATGCGCCTCTTCTGGACGAATGTCGTTCAAAACCCTCTCAAACATCGGTTCATTGGAAAACATAACACATTGAATCGGAAAAAAATGCACATGTGACCCTTCTGTATGCCCCTGAGATCATCTCAGAGGTCATGAACGGTCACCAGCAGTCTTTTGGCTATAACTTTTGATAGAGGCGTGCTAGAGTGGTGAAATCATAACAGATGTGTTCAGCTCGACGATGCGGATCGACTGATATGCAGCATGACTCTTTCCGGTCAGGTCATGACCTTGACCTGAGGTCAAATCATCAAAATGACCTTTCAATGTCAACGTATACTTCATTCAACGCGTCTCGATGAGAGGAACACGATACTGGCAAAATAAATGTCGTCACTGTCTTGAGTCAAAAGCTATTGCAGGAAACGTTTTTCATAAAAACTGATATTTTTGGAGTTTTTGACATCTGGAGGCTAAACCGTGAACCCGAGGTCGGATTTGAGAACACTTTTCAGAAAGGCCTGTAAAATGGCTATCGATGTGCTTTTCCGCGGCGCTGTGGCTCTATCGGTTCCCGAGTTAGCCGTTGCCAGTTTCCAAAATTGTTGAAATGTACTTAATTTGACCTTTGAATTGATAACCTCTGGTGACCTGACCTTAAAACTGAATAAAGTGTTTCCGTCATAATTTTTGACGCTCTTTCGATTGCCGCTTACCGCGTGTCGCTACGTGGCCCAGGAGCCGAGTTCGAGGGGGCGCGTGAAAACGCTCTTCCCCAACGTGACACTGAAAACACAAGCCACCAGCACGACGCGGGGGTCACTTTGGATCAGTGAGTGAGCCTGTATATTTCTTTTTGCAAAGAATAAAGATTGTGCTTATCAATCAACGTATATTTTACCGTTTCGAATTCGCATGGATGTGTATTTTGAGAATAAAATGTCCGTAGTTTCCCATATCGTGGTAAGTATTCATCAAGATCAAGGGTTTTTGATAAAAAAGCACCGGGCTCAAAATTGTATTAATTGGATTTTATGAAAAAAAAAACAGCGAAATCTGGTTTTTATACTCGTATTTTGCAACACTTGGTAAATCATGCATGGACATGACGTTACATTTTAGACCGACGCCCCTGTCGCGAGCTGACAATGGCACCCCTCTCAAGGGAAAAAGTCGCCCCCTCGAGCACCATGCCCCCCCTTTCGCTGATTTCTGGCTACGCCACTGGACGTCTCTCACCAGCTAGTGCGTCGGTCGAGCTCCGGCACTGTGCGGGGTTCGGTGGGCGCCGGGTAGTCCAGGTCCGTCTCCGGCACTGTGCGGGGCTCTGTGGGCGCCGGGTAGTCCAGGTCCGTCTCCGTCTGCGGCAGCTGCAGCCGCCAGAGGAGAGTGGCCGAGCGCCGGCCCGTCCACCGCGGCCGGCCGGCCACTGCAACGGACCGCCACCAGCCGTCACATGGCTGACAGTACACTGCCGCCACTGCAACGGACCGCCACCAGCCGTCACATGGCTGACAGTACACTGCCGCCACTGCAACGGACCGCCACCAGCCGTCACATGGCTGACAGTACACTGAACGGACCGCCACCAGCCGTCACATAGCTGGCAGTACACTGAACGGACCGCCACCAGCCGTCACATGGCTGACAGTACACTGCCGCCACTGCAACGGACCGCCACCAGCCGTCACATAGCTGACAGTACACTGCCGCCACTGCAACGGACCGCCACCAGCCGTCACATGGCTGACAGTACACTGAACGGACCGCCATCAGCCGTCACATGGCTGACAGTACACTGCCGCCACTGCAACGGACCGCCACCAGCCATCACATAGCTGACAGTACACTGCCGCCACTGCAACGGACCGCCACCAGCCGTCACATGGCTGACAGTACACTGCCGCCACTGCAACGGACCGCCACCAGCCGTCACATGGCTGACAGTACACTGAACGGACCGCCACCAGTCGTCACATGGCTGACAGTACACTGCCGCCACTGCAACGGACCGCCATCAGCCGTCACATGGCTGACAGTACACTGCCGCCACTGCAACGGACCGCCACCAGCCGTCACATAGCTGACAGTACACTGAACGAACCGCCATCAGCCGTCACATGGCTGACAGTACACTGCCGCCACTGCAACGGACCGCCACCAGCCGTCACATGGCTGACAGTACACTGCCGCCACTGCAACGGACCGCCACCAGCCGTCACATGGCTGACAGTACACTGCCGCCACTGCAACGGACCGCCACCAGCCGTCACATGGCTGACAGTACACTGCCGCCACTGCAACGGACCGCCACCAGCCGTCACATGGCTGACAGTACACTGCCGCCACTGCAACGGACCGCCACCAGCCGTCACATGGCTGACAGTACACTGCCGCCACTGCAACGGACCGCCACCAGCCGTCACATGGCTGACAGTACACTGCCGCCACTGCAACGGACCGCCACCAGCCGTCACATAGCTGACAGTACACTGCCGCCACTGCAACGGACCGCCACCAGCCGTCACATGGCTGACAGTACACTGCCGCCACTGCAACGGACCGCCACCAGCCGTCACATAGCTGACAGTACACTGCCGCCACTGCAACGGACCGCCACCAGCCGTCACATAGCTGACAGTACACTGCCGCCACTGCAACGGACCGCCACCAGCCGTCACATGGCTGACAGTACACTGCCGCCACTGCAACGGACCGCCACCAGCCGTCACATGGCTGACAGTACACTGCCGCCACTGCAACGGACCGCCACCAGCCGTCACATGGCTGACAGTACACTGCCGCCACTGCAACGGACCGCCACCAGCCGTCACATGGCTGACAGTACACTGCCGCCACTGCAACGGACCGCCACCAGCCGTCACATAGCTGACAGTACACTGCCGCCACTGCAACGGACCGCCACCAGCCGTCACATGGCTGACAGTACACTGCCGCCACTGCAACGGACCGCCACCAGCCGTCACATAGCTGACAGTACACTGCCGCCACTGCAACGGACCGCCACCAGCCGTCACATAGCTGACAGTACACTGCCGCCACTGCAACGGACCGCCACCAGCCGTCACATAGCTGACAGTACACTGCCGCCACTGCAACGGACCGCCACCAGCCGTCACATGGCTGACAGTACACTGCCGCCACTGCAACGGACCGCCACCAGCCGTCACATGGCTGACAGTACACTGCCGCCACTGCAACGGACCGCCACCAGCCGTCACATGGCTGACAGTACACTGCCGCCACTGCAACGGACCGCCACCAGCCGTCACATGGCTGACAGTACACTGCCGCCACTGCAACGGACCGCCACCAGCCGTCACATGGCCGACACTGAACGAGTCGTGGGGGGGGCAGGGGTATCCGACCGTCACATAGCTGACACTGAACGAGTCGTGGTGGGGGGGCAGGGGTATCCGACCGTCACATAGCTGACACTGAACGAGTCGTGGGGGGGCAGGGGTATCCGACCGTCACATAGCTGACACTGAACGAGTCGTGGTGGGGGGGGGGGGGCAGGGGTATCCGACCGTCACATAGCTGACACTGAACGAGTCGTGGGGGTATCCGACCGTCACATAGCTGACACTGAACGAGTCGTGGTGGGGGGAGGGAGGGGTATCCGACCGTCACATAGCTGACACTGAACGAGTCGTGGGGGTATCCGACCGTCACATAGCTGACACTGAACGAGTCGTGGTGGGGGGCAGGGGTATCCGACCGTCACATAGCTGACACTGAACGAGTCGTGGTGGGGGGGGGCAGGGGTATCCGACCGTCACATAGCTGACACTGAACGAGTCGTGGTGGGGGGGGGGGCAGGGGTATCCGACCGTCACATGACATAGCTGACACTGAACGAGTCGTGGTGGGGGAGGGGTATCCGAGGCTAATTTCCTATTTCAAAATCAGTACGGTTTGGGGACCAAAAGTTTTTGACCTGAAAGTGACCTGACCTAAGGTTAATTCAACTCAAAATGACCTCAAATGACACAAACGACATCAAAATCGAACTATATGACCTAAATGGCCCATTAAACATGTGTCACGTGACCGACACATGATATAATATTTCCGTGACCTGTGATGACCCGACCCTAACCTGAAAATCAAAGTACAAGTTTGGTACCCTCAGGGTATCTGAAGCATCTATTCACGAGTGTGCAAAGCAAAAATGAGCCTGATCTGACTTGTAAGACGGCGGCCAGAGCCGAAAATGAGAACAAGCCAAAATGCCAATAATTTTTACGTTAACCTTACCTGTGACGTCATCAGTGACCTCGAGGTCAATGAAATTAGGTTTCGCTCGACAGTTTTTTCCGGGGCTATCAGACGCCGTTTCAATTTTGACGATCAGCCCAGTAGTTTCGGAGTTAGGAGGGGGCTATGAAGAGCCCCCCCCCCCCCCCCGTAGGGCGTGTTATACGCAGACCCCAGTGGGGCGCGGGCTAAGAAATGCACAGGCAATCTTATGGTCAAAGAATTTTGAAAACTGGCCGGTAAAAACATGAGTTATGAGTGTGCTGGCTTTTCAGGCTTTTCACAATTTTTAACTATCGCCCTATACGGGCGATGTTCAGCTGAGTGCGCCGCCGTGTGCGGTCGCGAGCGCTGCTCGCTCCTCTCCCGTCTCCCCCTCGGCCTGCCTGTTCCCCGCGATTGTGTGGGAGGGAGCGAACGTTTGAAACGATCGGCTAGTGAGCTGTGAGAGTGAGCTTTGGTAGGGCGAATCCGTGCGAGAGTGGACAGTGGAGTGCGCGTCCTGACTGTGTGAACTGGGTGTTCCCACCGACGGCAACTAACACTGACTGACCATGCATCGAGACGTCGCCCGGCTGCTGATCCTACTCGCCGTGGTGCGCGTGCTCTCTCTCGCGTGCATCCCAGCAGCTGCACCGTCGACAGCGGAGTCGTCGCGCCGTCGGGAGCCGGATCGGCAGCTGCGACACCACGTCACCCGCAGACGACCGGCCGACCCGCGGCCGTCTGGCCTGCCCTCGGAGTCGCGGCCCTCTCGGCCCGGCGCGGCCGAGCCTTCCCCGGGCCGCGCGGCGCCGCCTCGGGCTGGCCGGGGTCCCGGCGCGCCACGTATCACGGACACCACTCGACAGCTGCTGGTACGGCGGCGCGCGCTGCTCAGCTCCGGGGCCGCCGGCCGCGCGGAGTACAAAGTGGTGAACCGGCAGTGCCGAGCAGCCATAAGACGCGATCACACAGCCTTCTTTGCCGAACAGCTACTTGAGGCAGGACCAGCGAAAATGTGGACTGTATTGCGACCAGTTGTTGGAGCGGGAAAGGGCACACTTACAGTGCCGGCCTGCACGCCGGATGCTCTCAATGCGTACTATGCGAGTGTAGGCCCCACTACAGTGGCTAGCGTTCCCGTACCAGAGACGGTTCCACCCGTCAGGATTCCGCGTGTACTCACATGCGCATTCCGAGTACGGACTGTATCGTATGACGCTCTGTTCAGCCTCATCCAGTGCATGAAAAAATCTACTTTTACCGGCCTGGACGGAATCAGCATAGACATGATCAAACGGTTCTTTTACGGTATGGGCCATGTTTTGTTGGACATTGTAAATAGTTCTTTAGAAACAGGATTAGTGCCAACTTCGTGGAAACACGCTTTAGTCACGGCTATTCCCAAGGGTGCTAAAGCAGACAGTTCACAACCGTGTAACACTAGACCAATTTCCATGCTACCCAGTGTCATGAAAGTTGTCGAGCGCGTAGTACAGTGTCAGCTCACCGAATACTTCCAGGAGCACGAACTGTTCACTGATGCGCAGCACGGTTACCGACGGGGTCGGTCTACAGAGACGGCGCTGGCAGTTGTCACCGACAGTGTATATAGAGCGATGGATATTGGAGAAATTTCCGTTCTTGTGCTCCTAGACCTTTCCAAATGTTTCGATGTCATTAGTCATGAAAAGATGCTAGAAAAACTCAGTTTGTACAACATCGAAACCACTTGGTTTAGGCATTACCTTGATGGTCATTCACAGCAGGTCAAAGTGCAAAACGCCAATGGTTCTGTCCTTTTCTCAAGGTCTTTGCCAGTTGAATCGGGAATCTTCCAAGGTGGTTCTCTCAGCTGTGTTTTGTTCTCCATTTTTGCGAACGATATGTGTCTCCATGTGCCCGATGTCACGATTGTGCAGTTTGCCGATGATACTCAGCTCCTCGTCTCCGGAAAAAAGGCCGACCTGACCAACCTAGTCATGAAAATGGAGCGTGCTCTGTCGCGGATTTTTGCATGGTTTTGTTCCAACAATATGAAAGTCAACGCTTCAAAAACACAGATGATAGTGCTCGGTACACGCCAGATGCTCAAAGGACTGCCACCCGTTTGCATTAGATTTGCTGGTGCTACCGTTCACGAGTCCCAAACTGTTAAAAATCTCG